GCCTCCTCGCCGCTCCTGCAGATTCAGAGCGACGCGGCGACCCCTCGGGGACTTGTTTTATTCTCCCACCTTTTCTACACACAGCCCTTCCTTTTAGTTCCGCTCTGAGGGCATTCTCAGTCGCACAACGGCTGGGGGACCTCAGATCCACTCTGTTCTGACGGGAAAGAGCTACACGTGCTTTGTGAAGGAGCTCAGCATCCTCACCAAGGAGCTGGGGTATGAAGGAGCTCAGCATCCTCACCAAGGAGCTCAGCATCCTCACCAAGGAGCTCAGCATCCTCACCAAGGAGCTCAGCATCCTCACCGAGTAGCTGGGGTGTGAAGGAGCTCAGCATCCTCACCGAGTAGCTGGGGTGTGAAGGAGCTCAGCATCCTCACCGAGTAGCTGGGGTGTGAAGGAGCTCAGCATCCTCACCGAGTAGCTGGGGTGTGAAGGAGCTCAGCATCCTCACCGAGTAGCTGGGGTGTGAAGGAGCTCAGCATCCTCACCGAGTAGCTGGGGTGTGAAGGAGCTCAGCATCCTCACCGAGTAGCTGGGGTGTGAAGGAGCTCAGCATCCTCACCGAGTAGCTGGGGTGTGAAGGAGCTCAGCATCCTCACCGAGTAGCTGGGGTGTGAAGGAGCTCAGCATCCTCACCGAGTAGCTGGGGTGTGAAGGAGCTCAGCATCCTCACCGAGTAGCTGGGGTGTGAAGGAGCTCAGCATCCTCACCGAGTAGCTGGGGTGTGAAGGAGCTCAGCATCCTCACCGAGTAGCTGGGGTTTGACACCTTGTGAGTTGCACTAAAAATCATAACAATGATGTTCGGTGTAGACCCATTCACCGACTCCGTATGTGAGTGTATTTCATATTAATGAGAGCCTTAGCGCTTGAGAATATGCCAGATCCTATTAACTGGAGACTGGTAAATATGATTAAATTGGTAGGAACATGGAGGTTCAAGGTTAATTAGCTGCTGACAAACATCTATTCCTAGCTACTGGAACGGGACTGTTTGGATTTCTACTAGAGTGAGGTCTCTAGATACTCCTTGGGAGCTTTCTTTTGGATTGGTCTCTGGCTAGCTTGTTGAAGTTCTATGGCCAATATTATATAGGTCAGGCTAGATCATCACCATGATCCCTTTTGGCCTTAGAATAGGTGAATCTGTGACCACCCCTGTCTCCTTCAACTGGATGTGTTCCACATTCTCCTTTTGCCTCCAGCCAGCCTGGCTTCTGAGGGGTCCACTGTACTATTCCTTCTCTAGTCTCCTGGCTACACTGTATATGAAGGAGAGAGGTGCCTTCCTCTCTTGAGCTTAATTTTGGAGGGTCATGCTTGAATAGCTTAATTGCTGCTCGCTGTTGCTTCTTAGAGCTTTCCCTAACAACTGAATAATGAAACTAACAAATGTCTGGGCAATTCTATTGCTGCAGTTCCAAATCTTGTGGGTTTCAGTGAGACTGCTGAAAATCATGCCTGTTTCATTCTGCTGCTGCTTGGGAAAGCTATGAGAAGTCACCTGTAACAGAGCTCTGCAGACTCCAAGAGAACATAACTTTGGGTCACATTTAGAAGGTTCTTAACAACTGTAAGTGGAAACTTTTTAAATACAATTGCTTAGATTCTTCAGGGATTGGTAATACAGGTTCTCTTCAGTCCCCCACTTGGTCTTCCTTCATCCCTTAGGATTGATAGTGTCGCTTTTTTTCCTTCATCCCTTAGGATTGATAGTGTGGCTTTTTTTGGGGGGGGAGGGGCAGGCCTTATGTCTGTTTACTAGAGAGGCTTTGAAGGAAATGGTTAATGACAAAGTTGACCAGTTTTTTTGGAGCTAAAGTACAAAAACATTTTGTAAAAAGTCCAAAGTATAACAGCGTTAAGTGGCTTTTATCTTGATGGCAGTATGCCAGAAATAGTTTGAACCTCAAATTGATCAGTTTTATGAGACCTCAGGCCTGCCCTTTCCTAACATGTACCTAATATAATTTGTCAGTTCATATGAATAGAAATTCTCCATTTTTTTTTTTTCCTTCTTACAAATGTTGGAGGGCCTCACTGCTATTCATGATATCCAACTGAAATTGCACTGTAGTTACACAAAACTAACTTGGATCACAGTTACATTTAGGGTATTTCTACACTAAGCATTTAGTGACAAAGCTGTCTTGATGCTACATTTAGGGTATTTCTACACTAAGCATTTAGCGACAAAGCTGTCTTGATGCAGCCTTGCCACTAAAAGTCAGCTTGTGTGAATTCTGTTTGTTGGCACTTTTGCCCACAAAATACTTCCTCTGCCTACAAGGGAGATTTCACTTTGTCAGCGGGAGAGTGCTCCTGCCAACAATGTAGTGTTCAGATTTTCACCTGCTGCAGCAAAACTTTGTCATTCATGTTTTATTTTTTAAGCACCTGTGTGACAAGTTTTGTCAATCAGGTGCAAGTATAGACATATCCTTTGGGGAGGGGAGGCAACTTATCAGTCATAAATGGGTTGTATACAGCCTGGGTTCAGAAGCTCATCTCTTAAGGATGTGATCACTTATTCTGCTTTGATTCCACAAATGTCTTATTAACAATTAGTTCCTGTAATACTTGATTGAAGAAAAAAGGAGAAATATCTACTCTGAGTATTTTTGAAGTGCCCATCACCTTGGTAGCTGATTGAGTCTTACATGGACTAGAGTGTTCTATTAGCATCAGTCCAAAAACACTGTAGTTTGAGAACAGTCCACAGAGTTGGATATTCAAGAAAGCATTAAAAGGCTAGCAATGCATTTGACCACCCTGTTGAGTACTAGGTTGTAATTTAGTCAAGGAGTTTATAGGAGTGCTACTATAGAAGGCCTGAAATAGATGGAAAATCTGCAAGTTCTGGTTAAGCAATGGTGTTATATTGATGTGAAAGAAATGCTTTCAGTTTTAAGAATAAATTGGTTGGAATTTGGCTTGTGTACAGTTTCAGTGTAAATAAAAAAAAACAAAAAAACCAAACTTAGTATTGGTTGGAATTTGGCTTGTGTACAGTTTCAGTGTAAAAAAAAAACCAAACTTAGCTGATTGTATCCTAAGCTGGTATGTGAAATTCAGCTTACTCCCATTTTTATTGCTGGTGCAGTGCTGTAACTGAAGTCCCTTCATAATTCCTACATCCTAATATAACAGATTGCATAGCAGAGGACTTTTTTAGAAGTTGAGCTGCCTGAAATGTAAACAGTTTTTATGAGGTGTGTATTCCATCCTCTTCCTCCTCCTCCTATTATATAGCCGAAAGCATTAAAAGCTAGTAGCTCAAATAAAGAGAAAATATGCAGTATCTGTATAGTTGTGAAATAGTTCTGATGGCTTCTAGTGTTGCCTGTCATTGAGAAGTGGTTTATTTTGTCAGGATATGTAACATTGCAACTGATACGAACTAATGAACCGCTGCTTCAAAATACAGAACAGTTGGAGGCATCTTATGGATTTTTATGCACTCTAGAAAGCAGTTTGACTCGTGCAGTATTAGCGCAGTTCCAATACAAGTGCAATAAATGGTAGCTTTTTAGTGAAGAATGGCATTAGTTATGTCACTGGTGGTGGTGTAGAATAGCTGGCATGTGGCTAAGAATCAAGTGTAACCCTAGGGTTTGCCTACATTTTGTCATTCCCCTCTTCCCGCAGTGCACAGACACGGTCCGTCTCTACTCTGGACTAGGGCACGGGTTCTCAGTTCACTGCACCGCAGCACCTTCTCACAATAAAATGACTGCATGGCCCCAGGAGGGGCCATGGAAGCTGGAGCCCAGGAATACCCCACAGCCTTGGGTTGGGGGGACCAA